GCAAGTTGTAATCCCTTAACATCTCTGCATGTGCGTTAATAACTTCTTTTTTCTACTACTCATTTCATATTCCCTGGACACTCAGCGAACCCCTCAGTTGTTTATGGTTTCCAAATCTTTACTCCTGGTTGGGTGACTTCCACTTTCTTTCCTGAAGGTTCTGGAATGGGATTATCAGGGAAGCTGGTGAAGAAATCTCTGGAAAGCTATGAGCTCATTGGCTGGTGGGGGGCTTGAAGCCACGCTTGTTTGGCAGGGCTGTCAGTGGGGAGAAGAACTGGGTCTGGAGCAGCACAGAACAAGGACAGGCTGGAACTCTATGGCATCTCCATGTTGGCCTCTCACTGCATTTAACCATGGCAGCCTTGAGGAATGTTTGCTCTCACTTCCACCTTCCAGATATTATGCTAATTTCTTCTGTGGCCAACTCCACTCTGAAACTGCCCTGGGAAGGGAATCTGGGAAATGTAGTTCTCGTTTGGCCAAGTTGACACCACAGAGCTCTACCCTCTTATTTATATTCATGTCCTTCCTACTAACTGACCCACAAAATGTCCTCGGTACAAGTATGAGGAAGGGATGGGGAGAACGAATATGAGATCCAGCCAGTAAAGGAGAGTGAGGATGCCCTGAAAAAGGGGTAGATCTTCCCTTGGGTACGGTACCTTGTACACGCTACTGCATATGGAATTGTGTTACATACGTCTAGGATGAGATTGCTTTCACTGTTGTCTCTGTAAGCAGAAACTATCTCTGTCTTGTTCCCTCTGGTTCCTTGAGGCAGGGACCCAAAAAGGATGAAATGTTTAAGATAGGTCTTTTCAGTTTGGTCTTTTCAGTTTGGTTTGGTCTTTTCAGTTTGGTCTTTTCTCTCCAAACTTCTAAAAAGAACTGGTTCTGGCAGACTAGAGTTGTATACACAACCTGGCTTATTTTCGCTGCTTTGTAAAAGACAGAAGAAATATGACCAGGCTGAATGCGGCCATCTGGAAAGTGTTCCTGGAAGCATTTTTGAATGCCCAGATTGGAAGTCAGCTTTTCAGGGTTAGCCTATAATCACTTTCCTGCATACAGGCTTAGCAAAAAGAGTTTGGTCTTGGCTAAGAATGCAGTGGATTAGCATTAGAAGTAAACATTCACAGGCATGAGAGCTGACCTGGAGGGTAGACCGCTTAATGTAGCAATGTCTGGTATGTTCTATAGGGATGGCGGAAAGAAGGAGCCAGTTTTTGTTGGGCACCAGGCTGGGTGCTCTACTAGTCGTTTAATGTGTATCATCTCCTCTCGTCTTTGTCACAACCCTATGAGCTGGAGAGTAGCTATATTTTACAGCTGAGGCTGACAGAGTTTGAATCAGAGCCTCTGGTTTTATAACTAAATGACAGAACCAAAAGCCAAACTAGCCCAGGTCTGTCTGGCTCCAGGGTCCTTGATCTTTCCATTATATCGTGGTGCTCTTCAAATCTGTTCATATTATTTTACTTTTCTGGTCCTGAGTTTCTCCGTCTGGCTAATCTTGGCGAAATACGTAATCAACTCTGCCAGGGGGTAGGTGTTTCTCTAGGAATGGAGATACTGGAGGGAACCCCGGTCTTCAACTCCACACGTTCTCTGGGACTGGTGTGAGCGGCTTCTAACGTTGACATGATCCAGAATATGACACACTGGGCCGTGCCCTCCGTTTATTGCTAGACTGTGGGAGTTGAGAGATAGAAGGCTTCACTCCTCCACAGGCTTTCCTGGTGGTCCAGTGGGTAAGACTCCACGCTCCCAAGGCAAGGGGCCCGGGTTTGATCCCTGGTCAGGGAATTAGATCCCACATGCATGCCGCAACTAAGATCCCGCATGCCATAATGAAGATCCCGCGTGCTGCAACTAAGACCTGGCACAGCCTAAATAAATAAATAAATATTTTTTAAAAAAAGGCGGCTTTATTCTTCCATCCTTTAGCCAAGTCAGTGTGGAACTCTCTTGATCCTTCAGCACAAGTTCTTAAACTGAGACAGTCCTGAGGAGCCTGGTTGGCAGGTCCATTTCTTGGCCCACAGATTGCTTGGTCCTGAATATAGCACCAGGTACTGATAGAATAAGGAAGGGGTTCTACAGCAGAAACCACAGGCTTGGCTACCCACCTTGGGAGTACTCAGTTCCCATTAGCCCTCGCAAAGGATGTCTAAGGTTTTTGGTCCAGATATCATGCCCCAAAGGAGGTTGCTCCATGCTCAGACCTATTTATAATCCTTTTACTTTTCCCACCAAAACACTACCAAGTAGATGGTGGCCTGTGTATCTCTGCAAAGTACTTACACACACACACACACACACACACACACACACACACACACACAGACATTTTGTTCTTAGCCCAGATCAGAGCAGCACCACCTTGGAGGTGTAAAATAAAGGAAACGAGACTTTGGCTCACTTTTCTAAAGCTAGAAAGTGTAATCAACACACAAGTCTCCTCTTATGATTAAAATAATATATAAAAAATGCGTTGCATTTGTGAAAACAGTTATAATGCAACTTTTCGTCTGATGAATAACCTTAATGTGTTCTGTATCTCGTTAAGTAATCTATCTTTGAAAATCTTGGAGGGACTTCCCTGGTGGTCCAGTGGTTAAGAATCTGCCTTCCAATGTAGAGGACGCGGGTTAGATCCCTGGTTGGGGAACTAAGATCCCACATGCCACGGCGCAACTAAGCCCCTGCACCACAACTAGAGAGCCCACACGCTACAACTTCTGAGCTTGCGAGCTCCAGAGCCCACGCGCCACAGCTAGAGAGAAGCCCGCGCACTGCAATGAAAGATCCCACGTGCCGCAGCTAAGACCCGACTAAGCCAAAAATTAATTAATTAATTTTAAAAAAAGAGAGAAAATCTTGGGTATATTAATATTACATTTTAGTATAATCCAGAAAAAAAGCATAATAATTTCTGGGTGTCAAATGGCTAATAATAAACATTCTAAGGGCAAACTACAAATTGAGTGAAAGTTTCTTGTGGAGGAAAGAATTTGGGGTCAGGGAGGAAGTCTGACCTTCTGGAGCCTTTTTCCTTTTGGCCGTCACTCCTGTGGGAGTTTAATACATGTGGTCAGAGCATGTCTCCTGCTGTTGGAAGCCCCAGTCTGCAAATACGGGCAATTCTAAGGAACTTCCTGTATCCACAAGGGGCAGCCAAGTCTGTGGCGGGGGAATGGGTAGGAGTGATAATTTGCATATCCCCTGTGGTATAAAGGCTCCCAGGTAACAGATTCCTTCAGTAGTAAAGGGAGTCCAAGGAATCTGTGGTTATAATGTGTCTGTGCTGTTTCTCTTCGGTGCCTGACCACTTCTTAGAACCTCGGGAAAGCACCAGATCAAGGGCATGCTGTCTGTCCTTAGCACAAGCAGACCTTGGACGCAGTCCCAGTGCAATCACGAACTGCTTGTAGGAAGGTGACAGAACCACCAGGGTAGGCTACAAATCCTCTATTCAGTCTAACACACGTCCCTAGAGAGAATCGCCAGGAAGGCAAATGTTCATCCTAACTTTGGGAATCCAAGTTCTCTGGACTGAACCTGAGTCCCTCCTATCGCCCCCTCCTTTAAGTGCACCACAATCCCCCCTCCCCATGACTGACCTGACACCACCACCACCCCCGACTGAGCAAAGTGAACCAAGGCTGAGCCTGGATCTGAAACAGACCTTTGGTCCACTTGTGCTGGGAGCGAGCAGATTCTGTTTGAAACCAGCAGGCACTTTGATTTCTCAATTTGCAACAAAAATTCTTTAGAGTTGCTTTTTGTTGTTGCCGCTGTTTTGTTGTGAAAGAAAGTCATTCTTACACACAGTTGGCTTTCCTTCAAGGCTAATTGTGCAGTCTGTTCTTTGGGGATACCACATAGCCACATAGCATGCTTAAAATGCATAAAGTTTAGAGGAAGACGGTCATTCTCTGGAGAGCAAATCCTGTGTTTATCCAAGAACTGCATCTCTGCCTCCTCCCACACCAGTCACTCTCTAGCCAGTTGCATATTTGGTGGAGAGATTTATGGAACTGAACATACAGCTGCAAATTTTCTTTCTTTTTCTTTTTTTCCCCAAGAACAGTGTTCTGCTGTCAGGGCTGTTATGCAATAAGCACACACACACAACTTATTTACTCCAGGAATGTCCAAAACTCCTAAGTGGTATCCCTTGCTGAATCTGACTGTGTGGGTAAACATAAAGCATTCTATGGAGGAAAGAAACTCATTCCATAGATGTAACTAACAAATCTTGACTCAGCTTATGTCTCTGTCTAATATTTTGTTCAAGGACCATCCATGAGTCTAGCTACACTCTACAACTTCTTCAGTTCTGAAGCAACTTTGTTAAAGTGAATGTCTTAGGGACAGGAGCAGAGATTCTTTAACTGAATCCCACTGCTCTGTTTACTTTAAGATTATGCTGATTATTTACTGGGGCTCCTGGATGCTCTATCCTTATGGGGTTCTCTTGGATTGGGGAAAATTCTCTCTTATCACCCTGTATTGTTTTTTTATTTTTATGGGTTTTTTTTCATTTTTCATTTTAAAAAAATGTTCTTTTGGGATTTCTGTGGCGGTCCAGTGGTTAAGACTGTGCTTCCACTGCAGGGGGCATGGGTTCGATCCCTGTTTAGGGAACTAAGATCCCTCATCCCGCATGCCACATAGCCAAAAAAACAAAAAAAAGTTTTTAAATTTTTTTATTGAAGTATAGTTGATTTACAATAGCATGTTAGTTTCAGGAATACAGCGCAGCAATTCTCTTCCCTTATAGGTTATTACAAAATATTGAGTAGAGTTCCTTGTGCTATACAGTAGGTCTGTTTTGGTATCTATTTCATACATGGTAGTGTGTATATGTTAATCCCAACCTCCTAATTTATCCTCCATTTAAATTTATCCATTTAAAATAAGTATGTTTATTTAAAATTTCTTATCTGAATGAATAACTGCAACTTGACATCTATTTCCATTTCCCAAACCAGAACCCAAACTGGCTTCCTGGATGTGGACCCGTGCAATGGTTTGTCTCCCTTTCAAAAATCTGCATCCATTGTCCTCTTTTGGAGGAAGAGATTGCGCAGGAAGAGGGACAGAAGAGAAAAACAAATATTTATTTAACATTCACTGGTATTAAACGCTGGGCTTAGTACTTAATTAGATTTGATCCTCATCATAAACACGATCCCCATCTTACAGATGAGTAAAGTATAACTCAGAGACTTCCTAAAAAGTGTATCTCCAGGGATACACTTGGCTAAAGTCACATAACTAGTAAATTATAAAAATGAGAGTTAACAAATTTTTATTGCACTATATAAAAAATGTACAAATTATTCATGCACATCTCAAACTATATTACAGAGTAAATTACTAGTGCAACTACTACCTAGGAATTCTAAGACCATGGATTAGTTGTCTACTTCTGAAATTTATATAAATTTATCATATTGCAGTCATCATATTGGGTACATATCTAGGAGTGGAATTGCTAGGTCATAAGTTATGCGTATATGTTACATGTAACTAGAGTAATTGTTCTATCCTCTATTGAAAGTGGAGCAGAATAGTCTCCAACTGTTATTGAATTGTCTGTCCTTTGAATTCTGTGCATTTGGCTTCATGTATTTGGGGGCTTTTTTTGTTCGGCATATACATTTCGTGTTTGTGCTTGATATATATACTTGTTAGGTATATATGTTTATAATTTTTGTATCTTCCTGGTGGATTGAACCTTGTACATTATAAAATGTCCTTTTCTTCAATGCTGACTTTGTCGTAAGCCCACGTGTAGGGGTCCAGTTTCTGGACTTTTGATTCTGTTGCGTTGGTCTATATACCTATACTAATACTAATACTACCACCATCTTATAGACTATAATAATAGGCTGTAGCTTTATAATATGTCTTTTAGACCTTTGTTGTTGTTATTTACATATCGAAAACACTTAAGTGCCTGAGAGAGATTCATCTTACACTTCTTCATTTGTACTCTTCTGAACTGCAGTTTACATATCTAAAAATAATGTCTCCTTTGCAAATGTAATGCAAGCAAACTCCTGACCTAGTTCTTGGCACCTAAATAACCAGTTATTAATAGTAAATGTTGTTCAATCACTAACTAATAGAAGTTATTTTTTTCTCATTGAATTTTAGAGCTGAAAGGTGCTTTAAAGTCTCTAATAAATATACAGTTTTTTGCAGCCCAGTTGATCAGATGACGAACTAATGCTTGGAGAAGTGAAACAGCATGTTCAGAATGATTCAGCTGTTTGGGTGCAGAGCTGAGACTAGGATTTCTCTCCTGACTCCTAATCCAGTGCTTTCTCCATTGCTCTATGCTTAATTTACCCTTGGGGAGATCCTCACTGGGGAGGCAGGAAGGAAGGAGAGAATGAGTGTATCCCTGGAGATACACTTTTTAGGAAGTCTGTTTTTGCTGTGAATAAGCCAAGCTTTACAGACAAGTGAAGGGTGCCTCACATTGAACTTGGCAACACCCATTCTGTGTTGATCACCTGATACCAGCTTTCTCACCCACCTACAGAAGACAGATGGTATATTGAATCTTCTGCTGTCCTGTTTCTATTGTGAAGCAAAGATTGCAACGACAAAAAGGGAATGTGAGTGGAATTGGTAATGCCAGTTAAAGGCACAGATTAGGTGATGTAATCACCATGACAAATGGTGTGCCTTGGGGGAGTTTGCTGGCTGAATTATATGCAGCATTGTTACCAAGGGTAATTATACAAACCTCTATTTGTGTTATGTCCTTCCTCCTGGAACCTTTAAAATCTTCATTCAGGAATCATTAACATTCACCTCACTCTAGCAGAAGAGTTATAAAGAAACATGGTTTTTAAACTTTGGTTGAGGATAATAAGACCTGCCAAGTCTAGCCTGAGATGTAAAGATTAGCTTGAGTTATTCTTTTTTTAAAATTTATTTATTTATTTATTTGATTTTTGGCTGCGTTGGGTCTTCGTTGCTGTGCGCTGGCTTTCTCCAGTTGCAACAAGCAGGGGCTACTCTTCGTTGCAGTGCACGGGCTTCTCATTGCAGCGGCCTCTCTTGTTGCAGAGCACGGGCTCTAGGCGCTTGGGCTTCAGTAGTTGTGACACGCGGTCTCAGCAGCCATGGCTCGCGGACTCCAGAGCGCAAGCTCAGCAGCTGTGGTGTATGGGCTCAGTTGCTCCGTGGCACGTGGGATCCTCCTGGACCAGGGATCAAACCCGTGTACCCTGCACTGGCAGGCGGACTCTCAACCACTGCGCCACCAGGGAAGCCCGGAGCCTGAGTTATTCTTAAAAGTAAAAAATGCCCCCTTACTCTTCTCCATCGTTTTCTTCCCTGATAATGATGATGATGAAGTGAGCATTATTCCATTTTTCAAGCATCATAGAAGGAAAAATCAAATGCAGTGTTCTTAAGAAACTTCATTGTGTGTGAGAGGTGCTTAGATACCCTACTGAGGTGTTTATCCATGTGGTGTCAGTGCCAATTTTAGGGGAGCTGATTATCTATTACTCAGGAGGCAAGGTAGCCTAGGGCTTAAGTATACAAGTTTGGAGTCAAAATCTGGGCTCCACCGCTTACTAGCTTTGTGAACTTGGGCCAGTTACTTTATTTCTCTGTGCCCTCGATTGTGAGATGTAAATAATAATAACAATAATCATCATACCTGCCTCATAGGGTATGTTGGGAAATTTAAATGAGATTACACATGTAAAGAACTTTGGAAAAATATTAGGTGGTCCTGTTAGCAATTAGAGCACTGCCCATGCTGACTGGCAAGTTGTAACCTGAGACGTGGTCCAGGTATATGGATCAAATGGCTAGGATTTCCCAGGGTGGATAACAAAGAAAAGAAATTAAAAATCATCCATAAAAAGATAGTTCTCTATTTAAATATTTATGCTATTGCTTTCACAGCCTCTTATGTCAGATTATGAAAGCCTTGGTGTATGATTTGGAGCAAGGTTTAAAGAAATAGGAACAATCAAAACATACCTTTTTTCTTTCTAAACTTCAGCAGCTTTCAAATGTTTCTTAATCTACTCATGACTTTTGTTAATCTGGTTCACCCACCTTTACTTTGGATACTTTGGCTGTCAAAAAGCCTCAAGCTTCACTCTCACCAGGTCTGGTTGTGGGCTGTGTTTGCCACATTAACAGTTGACATTGGTGGCTCACACATGGCTTTAAAAACATGTGTGGTAACATGGCAGCAGGTTTGGTTATTTGGGGTATTGCATTTTGAGCAATTTGGATATTATCTCTGATAATAGTTCTAAACGTAAGCATTTTATACATTGTTATTATTAATTTTAAAGTCTAGAAGATAGCAAAATTTGGCTGTAAAAATGAAATAGACTTCAGGCAAGTAATAATTATAATAAAATCTGAAATGTCAGCCCCCTTCTTGTATTTGAGGTGGTTAATTCTCAAACCATAGAATGTATTATCACAATACTAACAGGAATGGGATGAGCACATAAACTAACTTTTGGTACAAAAAATTCTGGTGGGTACTTTATAGCATTGGTTTTTCAACATTGTGCTGTAGCAGAATCGCCTGATATGCTTAATGAAAGTGCAGATTCTTGGGACCCACCCCCTGAAAAGTCATATTTGGTAGGTCTTGGGTAAGATCTGAGAATTCACATTTTCAACAAGTCCTCGAAGGTGACTTATATTTGCACTACAGTTTGAGAGCCACTGTTTTATATTTGGATACGCTTTTCACTTAGGCACTGAACAGTGAAAATGGTTTAAATAATGTTGACTGAATATGTAGCTGAAACTTCGAACATGTAACTAGCTCAAAATAAGCTTCCTCATTAATTAGTGCATTTCCTGTCATATGTAGCATTCAAGTAAGATAGGTTGGTTGCCCAGCAGGGATTTGTAGAGGAGAGTTCTACTTTTAGTGGGAGCTCGATTAGGGTGATCTCTAGAATACATCTGAGGGTTCTACTTGATTAAGAATGTAAGTATTAACTTGCCCTTAATATCTTGGTTCTGCTTTCTGTATCATTTGATAGGACAAGCTTCTGTCTCCTACTCATCAGGACTCAGCCCTTCCTGATTATTTTCTGTATCTGTCTGGGTCTATCTTTTTTCTCCTTATGACTCTTTCTGTCTCCGAAATTTTATCTGCCTCGGTCTCTGTCTTGCTAAATGTTTTATTATTTTCAGGGAAAGCCTGAAGCAGCCTTACCTTCCAATCCTTCTTCCTCCTTCAAGATCAGAAAGAAAAAAAAAAAATAGAGAATAGCTAGAGCAGCTTTCACATGAATGCAGCCATTTCAGGGATGCAAGTGACTTAGTGAATACAGATCTCCATGGCAGTGAGAAGACACTTAGGTAATCATAGGTGTAGTGTTTCTACTCAATCTCACTCCCACTTTGGTTGAAACAATCAAATGGTTGTGATGGAACTCCAGCCATACAAGAACTCATGTGCAATTGCATCATCCCACAGGCGCTCGATCTGTTCAGAGGGTTAGTGTACATCTGCCAGCACTGGCTCAGGGAGAGGAATTAGAGGCAAGATTATTTAGTCGCTCTGGCTCCTTATCAGGAAGAAGCCTGGAGTTCAGCCTAGGTGTTTATCCCAACGTGATCACACCCTGAAACGTATGAGTCCTGACTCCCTCTTCTTGTTAACTCTTATTGGACCTACTTTTAGGCCTTTTCTTCACTGCCTGGATGCTCAGAGACATCACTTACCCATGACTTATGAAGGCTTGGTTCTTCCCTTTCATTAAGGATAATGTCCTCTACATCTCTTCTTTCTAAAGTGAAGGTACCCTCCTTTTTTGTAGGAGACGAGTTCAGAGCAGCTATAGGAGCTCATGACAGCTCTTTTCAGTGAACTGGGGACATGAGGGAATTGCATTCAAATCTTTGAAAACAAATCTGAGAAAGATAATTATAAGCAGAAGAAAAGCATCACAGCCTCACTCGAATTCTCATTACCCCCTCTGGGTGGCACCTAAGTCCCCCACCCCAGATAGGAGGTAATAGGTATCTAAGGTAGGTCTATTCAGAGGTCATCACATGTTCTGTGTGTTTGTGCTTTTTAATATAGTAGAGAAATAATTTTCCCCCAGGCCGTGTGCTTCCTGTTGTTGCTTGTGTGTTGACTTTCAGAACATAGTGTACCATAGATGCTAATTCAAAGTCCATTAAAACTGAATACATTACATAGTAATACCTGCATTTCTAGATCATTTTGCACATTTTTAGTAACAGGATATTGGAACTGCTGGAACCACAGCAGTTGTTGGGACCACTTAGGGAGAGATGACGTCTTTCCAACAGCCTGACTCTAAAATTACTACCTTGAATATAAGCATGATAAGTGTTTGAAAGACCTTTTTTTTTTTCTTGCCTCATTCAAGGAAAAAAATTTGAAATAAATGTCCAAATTTACATATTGTTGAGGATTTTAAGTGACACAAAAAGCAGCCCAACCTTAAATGAGTAAAATCCTTCTTAATGAAGTTGGAAGAGCCTTAACATCAACATCACAAGGTATTTGAGCGAACCCAGACTGTTTAATTAACAGTTAAGGCCAAGAGAGAAAACACTTGTTTTCCACTGTTCTCTGCATTCGTCAGAACTTGCATGTTGTACTTTATAAATTTGTATTTATGTCAGGCTGTAGAGTCATGGAGTTCAAATTCCAGATGAGGCACTTAGTTGTGTGCCCTTGAGCAAATAACTTAACCTCTCTGATATTCAGTTTGTTCTTAAGGATTTTATTGATGAGCATGGGTTGCCAATGACAGAAACCAGCTATCATTAAAAAAAAAAAAAAGAAAGAAAGAAAAAGAAATTGATTAGAAGGATATCAAAAATGTAAGAGACTCAAAGGCAGGTCTAGAGAACTAGATGACCTATGATGGGGTTCCATCCTGATAAACCCATTGTAAATTGAAAATATCTGTTAAGTCAAAAATGCATTTAATACACTTAACCTAGGGAACATCATAGCTTAGTCTATCTTATTTTAAACATGCTCAGAATACTTATATTAGCCTACAGCTGGGCAAAATCATCTAACACAAATCCTGTTTTGTACTAGAGTGTTGACTGTCTCTTATAATTTATGGAATACTGTATTGAAAGTGAAAAACAGAACGGTTGTAAGTGTATCTGTTGTTTACCTTGTGATCGCCTGGCTGAGTCAGAGCTGGGACTGGCTTCTTTCACTTAGCAGAATGTTTTCCAGGTTCAGCCATGTCGTAACATGTAGTTGGTTCCATTTTATTGCCGAATAATATTCCATTGTATGGATACACCACATTTTATTTCCCCTTTCATCAGCTGTTAAACATTTGGGGCCCATCAGTTTTGAAGCACCAAGCCCTCCTCTCTTAAGCTCTCTCTCTGGTGGCCCCAGATCGGGGATCACAGACTCAAATGTCTCTCAGCTAGGTGTAAGAAAAACAGGAAGTGGTGAGGACCACGGCAAATGAGAGAACGTGTGCCCATCTAGAAGGGGCAGCCCCTATGGAGTCACTGCCAAGTGGCCATCCAGGCCTGGTATTGTTAGCTCTTCAGACTGTTCCAGAGAAGCCAGAATCTAGATTTTTATGTGAAAATTGTCTAATTTTTAAATGTTGGTCAATTGATACCAACACTATGGGGGAGAGAGAGAATACAATTCTGGTCGAGACTAAATGCTGCAGGTGATCCCTGAGTGATGCAGAGACATGTCTCATCTTTGGGAGCCTATGAAGGGTTAGCTAGAGTGTAACTTCTGCACTCTCCTTGGGCAACACAGAAAGGCTGTTCATCACTTTGGAGAAAAGAAGGACCCGGGTCTAAAGTCAACACGCTGGGTTGGGTGGGGGTGGAATTCCTCTCATTCTTTGGCTCAAGAGCATGCTGGAGTAGAAAACACAAAACTCCAGCAAATGT